TGTAAGTTGCTTTGAATAAAAGCATCTAACAAGTATCATGTATGTAATAATGAACACACCTTCAAAGTAGAGGTATTCAGTGCCAGTGCATGAGTCTTAACTTTAAATAACAGAGAGTTTCCTGCTGCTCTTATGAAGGGTTTCAGTCTGTTTATATGAGTGGTTATGGAGCTGATAGCTTGTTACGGATATAACAGTATCTGCAGACCAAACGATAAGAAGAAACTGTAGAATATAAATTATAAATATATGTTGAAAATATGAAATGATGTCTCCATTACATGGTTTATCCGCCACATATTTGAAGTACATTTTTGCCGAAGACACATTTCATTAAACCTGTTGACATAATGTTAAATCTTGATTGTAAAAAGATCTTTCTGTAGCTTGCATTGCATTAATAAAAGACTATAATAAATAAAAGATAAACAACAACATAGGTGTCGAAAGTTGTGTCCTTTACTCATGGATTTTGAATTGATTTGAATCCAATTCTACATATAATTAAAAGAACATCATAGCAATATAAATTGTCACCTGAAAACAAAATGACCAAGCTTGAGGATGTAAGCTCAGCCTTTACGTAGCCTGAGATGTTTATTGACATGTTTTAAATCTTAGAGCGTCTGTCTTTATGGATTTTGTTGGCTGGACTGACAGAAGAGACCGTTAACAGAGATTTTAGAGAGTAAATATATTTGAAACCAAAACTAGGCAACGAAAAAAACAGTATCTATCACACTCTTGTGCTAACGTTTAGCCTGGTACCTGCTTCTCTCTACGGCCTGGTGCAGTCTGGGTAAACATCTCACAAGTGGAGCCTATTATCTGGCTGTACGCCGCGTATGAGTCATGTTTACCTGCAGGGGTTTGCTCAGCACGAGGCCATCTGAAGGAAAGGAGCTGCTTCGTCAGGTTACCTGCTGCCTACGCTCTCTCCGCCCCGAACAAGCAATCTGATTGGCTGAGGACTCTGCTCCACGCTCCAATTAATGGACAAACACTCCAAACCCTATCCCAGAAATGACGGAAAGCATCTGTGGGGTGATATGGATGGCGGGTGTATAGTTGGGAAACAAAGTAGTTCCTATATATACCTGACAACAAGATCTGTGGATTATCATTATCATTTGGGTTGCTTTGAGCTTTGAATACACTCTTTCCTGTCGTGTGTTCTATAGGTTTTAGTGCATGTAAAGGGTCTGCAAAGGCTAAAATCCCTGTGTTCCCTTCAGAGGGAGTTTCTCTCCCACACACTCCCCCCCTGAAAAGCCTTCGATGAACTCCTTTGTTTACTTCTGGAACAAAGTGACATCACTATGTAACACTTGTCTTCTATTGGCTAGCACTCCAACACACTTTAAATGACTCACAACAACAAGGACTGTGGATTATTGTAAGTAAAGGGGTCATGATTTCTGGAAAGAGACATCATCAACCACAGAGAAGGCAGACATCTCTATGGAAGATTTCTCCAACATTCAGCATCTCACACCAAAACAATCTGGATGCATAAATACAAATAGAGGTGAAAAGAACACAGGTTTTGGGGTGAACTGTCCCTTTCATAATAATAATAAGGATATGTTATAAGAAGATATAATGCCCCCCTTTTGTTGAACTGGTCACAACCTGTAGACATGTGCAGCCTGACGATGAGTCACAACATACAGTGGCCTCATTTGAAGAGGTCAGAAAGGGAGCTTCTGCTAAACACACATGTATATGATTCAAGGACAACATGCAAACATGGCGTTAATAAAGAGATGTCACATGTGTGTGTCCATCAAAAACCTCCTCTGCATCTCCACTGTTATGATGACTGTCTCACATCTGCAGGAGAAACCTCAACCAACCTCTCCAAACGAGGAGGAGGAAGATGATGAGGAAGGAGGATGAGGAGAAAGGCCCCTGAACCCCCTCATCATGGCATGAGCCCATAACAACATCAGCACCGAGCATGTGATCAATAACAGCGGCGGCGCGCAAACAAGCGGCTAATCATAATAAATAGAGATGAATGATTTCTTGTATATTATGTATTAAAGGGGGGTCAGGTGTGTGTGTGTGTGTGTGTGTGTGTGTGGGGGGTCCGGGGGGTTGTACTCACTCGTCTGGGCGCGTGTCCTCGTTCATTTTTTCCCGTTTCACCTCCGGTAATAATAAGCTCCCGCCGCGGCAGCACGGTGCGGCGTCTTCATGTTTCCTCGCCCTTAGCGGCAGAAGCGGCAGGAGCGGCAGAAGCGGCGAATCCGGTTCTCCCCCGCGATCCTCTCGGTTTTTTAAATCCCGGTGTGCGTTATGTGGTTTCAGATCTCCTCCTCTTCCTCCTCCTCTTCCTCCTCCTCCACCAACACCACCTCCTCTTCCTACTCTTCTTCTTCTCCTTTCACCCCTCAATTAGCCTACTGGAGAGCACCCGAAGAGGCGCGCATCTGATCTTCCACCTCCTCCTACGCCTTTTCTTCCTCCTCTTCTTCTTCTTCTTTTTCTTCTTCTTCCTCCTCCTCTTCCTCCTCCTTCTCCTCCGCCTCCTCTTCCTCCTCCCTCGCCGACCCGAGCTGGAATGCGGTGACCGAAAATGGTGCGCTGGTTTCGGTGAGGATGGCCCCGGACGAGCCCCATCTCCTCCTCATTACTCCATGTTGGATTCAGTGAGCGCAGACAGAGAAGAGCGAGGAGGAGGAGGAGGAGGAAGAGGAGGAGGAGGAGGAGGGGAGGAGGAGAGGGGGGTGACGTCAAACCCGAAGGACTGCAAAGTCACGTGTATTAACATATAATAATAAAGACGAAAATAGTGGTAAAAGTCATAAATAATCATAATACATAATAGTATTAATAAAAACAATAACCTACCTTGTAAACATGTGAATGTAACTACTAGTGACATATTCAATTGATTACTTTTGGATTCACTTTCTTTTCTTATTTCTCAAACTTCAATAAAGCTGAAAAGTCCTAAAAATACAGTATAATGAAACCAGTCCGTAAACACAACACTGCACTTCACACTTACTCAAGTTCTTAAAGTCTTAACTTGAAACAGAGCAACATAACCATTTTTTTATTCTACATACAGCCTAAGCTTTTACTTGTAATTATATTGTTGGTTTTATCCCTTTTTGGTCACTGCACTTGAATAGTTGTAATTTAATTTAATATTTGTTCTCAGTTACAATAACATTTTCCTGACTAGTGGCCTAACTAGTAACTCCCCAACTCTATATACTCTGCTATTTGTAGAAATTGCTATAATACGTTAATATACAGTGTTGGAGATTAGCATAAAGTAGAAGCGTTAATATAAACAATTGAAACAATTGAAACACTAGAAAAAAAGATGGCAGCCAAGTAAAAGTCCTACAATATTCTTCTAATAGCAATGATACAAGTAGTCAACAATGTAGTATTAGACTTCTACTTTTACTGAAGTGAAAGATCTGAGTAACCTATTGAACCTATACACAAAATATAAAAACCTTATTCTGCAATACTTGATTCTCAGGTCTGATAATTGACTCTATAGGACTGACAAGCACCTGCTAATCATTTTTCTTAATAAGAGCCTCAGCTTATTTTCCAATCAGTTTATTATCAGCTGTCCATCAGAACAACAAGCCACTGCTCTCCTTCTGTCACATTTATAAAACACTGTGTTTTAGTGACACCTTGTGGCAGAGGCATGTCACTGCAGCTGCACTTCACATCTGCTCCACATCTGTCCTCACTGTAACAATCCTGAGTGTTTATTTTAGTAGAAATATCATGGACGTTATACTTTATATTTCTTAGACCTTATTTAACTGTGACCGTCTTTTCTGTGTCTTTATTTGGCCTCGCTTTATTTGGACAGTCCAGAGCAGATTCTAGACGTCAAGTCCAGGGATTTTAATAAATATCTACCGAGCTTCGGGTGATTTTCAGTTATGTAAAAACTACTGAAGAGAATCTCAGCAGACAATATGAAGATCCATCTTTTATCTCAAATGATTCACTCTAGACTAAAATCTCTATTTAGATTAGAAAACTATTTGTGATTTAGGAGAATGTAAACAAGATATTGCAGATGGATTAAGAATGAAAAATAAACAAAAACAGTAAATATATACATTTCAAAAGTGGAAGATACAGTATATAGAGTATCTCTATTGAATACCCAATTAATACACATTACATTACATGTTACTTGTTTGACGCTTTTATCCAAAGCAACCTACTTTCAATGTGGGCAATCCCCAGAGGAGCAATTTGGGGTGAAGTGTCTCAGGGACACAACGACATGCTGACTGCAGTGGGGTTTGAACACCAACAAACTAGCCACTGCGCCAGACGCCCCCATAGAAGTGAAGTCAGTTTAAAGTATGAAAGGCCAACATACAACTAACAAAAATGTAAACATGGGTTACCATTAACATTATAAGTTGCCTTTGAGTATGAAACACTTGACTTGAAAGACGGTTAGATGCTGCAAAAATAGTTTTACATTTCTAATTTGACCATTCATTCATAACAGGTTGTTTTGAAGTCTCACTTTTCCCCCACTTTTTTCTGTCATTTCTTTGTTTAATTTTAGAACAAATGGTCTTATTACAAAACTAATAGACTTTTTGGGATATTGGGAAACAGTAAAAGAAACATTCAATATTTGTTTTTTAATGGTATTGATTAGGCACTCTGTATTTTTCCAATGTCCAGCATACTTGGAATTCTACCGAGGCAGGCGTACTCTCTGTGCTCAAAAATGTTCAAGTGTGCGCTCAATCGCATTTTCTAGGCTCAACATGTTTCATTGCATGCTCAGGATAGAGGCACAAATATAACGCCATAGAAATCGCGCTACATTTAAGGCGGGGCCTCTCATATGACGCACACCTGCACACCTGTTAACCTGCTCCACAATTCTTTGTTTTCCGAGGCTAGGAAGGATTCTTGCCTCGCTTCTGAAGCAACTGACTCTGAAGACATGTGCTACCAAGGAAGCGTCCTCGACATTGCGAAACACCCTGTGCTTTTTTCCTTCTCTGTAAAACACTGTAATGAAGACCATGTGCTGAAGGCTGTAAGTAGAATACAGTGAAAACTCTTTAGTTCTGATTGATATTTTTGCACATTTTTTACTTGTGACTTAAAACAGAACTGGCTGAAGTATGATCTCGATTAAAGTCACTTTGTGTGGATGCTAAACACCTGCGCTGCCAACCACCTGCTGCTCTTTACTTTAGTTAAATAAAAAAATGTTGATAGGGACAATGCAAACTAACATAGATCCAATACAGAACATGAAACTGGTACGTGCTGAGAGTTCATAGCTCATTTTGTAACTCTTGTTTCTAGTTACTCGTGTTTTCCAGAGTTAGCCTGTTTGTCATCACTGTAAATTTGTTCTCAGTATATTTGAAATTACTGGGTTAGCTACATTAGCTATGTTAGCTAACTAGCTAACAGCAGATCTGTAATAATATCTGAAATCCTTTGATCACATTGTTAAAATAAGACGATAAAACTTTTTGAGTGACAGTTAGCCAACTTTATAATCCCCGAACATCACCAAGCGCTCCCCAGCTGTTTGCATCTCTTTTTATTGTCCCCGTTTCGGTATTGATTTGAGCTTCTGCAGCGCTTTTAGTAAACGCTGCGAATGTTTCATGAAGTTGGTGAATATATGTCTTCATTTGCATGTGTTTTGGCACATTTGTGTTTCTATATTTGCACTGTTTTTAAAACTGCCACGCATTTCTACTAAATTGGGAATGTTTTTGGCCCTTGTAGTTCCCCCGTCTGCCACGGTACTTAAAGGGGACCTATCATGCAAAATGCACTTTTTGATGACTTTTATACTTAAATATGTGTCCCCGGTGTGTCAGGGAACTCACAAAGTGTCAGAAAATAAAACCCTCTCTCTTTTCCTCCATACCCAAATCTCTAAAAACAGGGCTACAACGGAGCTGATCCAGATTTGCGTCCGATACAGTACGACGTAATATCTGAAATGTGGACCCACGGCCCTATCAGAAACGTTGCTATCAGAAACAATGCATGACTGTTTTGGACGTAATATGGTCGGTGTTTACATTAGCTTCGCTAACACTCAGAGCTAACCTGTACTGGAGAGCATGTGTGTGAAGAAGCAGGAAATAAAAAGGAACTCACCTTGTGGTACAACCGGCAAGAGAGAAAGCCTTTGAGCTCCATACTGTTTCAGAGATAATCCTTGATAATCCATGATATGGAGTTTCATCACCACAGTATCTGCCGGTAGAATCTCCCGCTTGAGCTCAGCCCCCTCCTCTTTTTTTTTAAATACATTTTTTTTTTTTTTTAAGCTTTATACCCCAAATCAGCACTTTTGAAACAGGAAGTGAAATAGAGGGATATGAGGCTGGCTAGAATGGGAGATCTGTTTGGTATTTTGAGCAAAACACTTCATAGACATGTTTTTTATATATTTGTATATATCTGAGACCTATGCTATAGCCTACATATAGCATGATAGGTCCACTTTAAGTAGTGCAAAAAAAGTGGCAGCCAGTAATAAACATATTGAATTGTAAAAGAAACAACAAAAAACAACAACCTTTAATTCAACTCGGAAATGTCTTAATGTACACACCTTGTTCACAATAAGTAATAAAAAAAATAATCATAAAGCTTCTTTAAAATTGATCAGCTCATTGGATTGAAAAAGGAAAATACAAGTAAATATCTGTTGCATTTAGTTCCTCCATGTTTTGCTCTTTTTCTCCAAAGATGCACATTGTTGTCATAAAAGAATCCTTTGGGAGCACAAGACTATTCAATAAATAGTACTGTTATGAATACCTGCATAAAGTTGGGAGAGAGACAGATTTAAAAGTTGAATCAATTAAAGTAAATTAGTTCTGTTCTGTGCAACAGTTTTAGACACAGAAGCTTTTTAACATAGTATTAACACTTTACAAACACTAGATGGCGGAGGTGCACAAAAGTTCAGCAGCCTGTGCCAAAAAAGTCAATTTGCTCAAACTAATTTCCCTCCAACATTTAAACTTTGACATTATTTCTTTATTTTATATAAACACACTGATTATTGTTCTTAATTCAAAAATATTAGTAGTACACAAACTCTCAAACTAATAAGAAGTTGCTGCACCATCCAAGAGGAGAAAGCAAAGTCATAATCAAGTACTTGAGTATCATTTTGAGATACTTGTAGCCTACTCTACTTTTTGCTACTTTCTATTTCCACTACAATTCAGATGTACATGGTGTACTTTTACTCCACCACATGTATTTAATACCTTTAGTTACTTTGCAGATCTGGATGAATGATGTGAAATATAATCAAGTGTTAAATCAGACTTTAGTTCCACCTGGAGTAAATTCACAAGCTACCCTGCAGTATACAAAGTCATTCAAACTAGCTGCACCTTTACCAGCTTTGATAAAACTGATCAATCATCATAAAACGTATCATATATTATTCTGAAATGGACCAATCTGCACAATGGCTACTTTTACTTT